TTATAATTAGCACATTGGTTTTGATAAAGACTGTGGTTTGCACTGTGATTATTTTATATAGTGAAATCAGAAGGATATTAATTTTTCAGAGAGGTGTTTCTTAATGCTTTTTTCCTTCCTATGTTGGGTTTATGATTTTGTTTTACTGAGAGCAGTGAGGAGAAAGAATTAGGAAGGAATAAAGATGTGATCTAACCATGACAAAGGAAGTACTTGGGTAGTATCTAAATGAAATTAAAGTATTTGCCTTCTGAAGTGACTTAGGCTTAATGTGTAGATGTGTTCGTTTTCACCTTCACAAATATATTAAGTACTTTGAGTTAGTTTCAGTTAGAGAAAACTCTAGTTTACCAATTAGCATTTGCAAAGTGTAGGTAATGAATTTATTGACATAGTGCAATAAAAAATCCTTGACTGACAGGGAGATGGAATAGTTGACCTATTATTTTCATCTTGAAATTATCTAATATTGCGTTATGCAAATACAAAAGCAAAGGAACTGAAATGCCTGAACTCTTGGATGACAACTGAAAAATAGACATTCACAATGAATGTTAGGCGTATGCCCTTTTAATTATAACATTTATTTATTATGAAATTGAATGAGGAGAACATTGTGACGCAGCTACTTTGTTCTGTCCAGCAATATGGAGTTGTAAGGACTGCTGAAAACACAAGGAGACAGCCATGGATTCAGAATATTAAAGCACATTAGTATCATTTGTGATGCCAATAATAGTGTCTGCTGCCAATTCAGCAACCAAAGGGTGTGAAGAATTCGGTAAAGAGCTAAGAAGATTTATCCAGTGAAGACCGCTGAAAGAAGATGATGTCCATTTCCCAAGTCCTAATAAATTTGGGTTGACAGGCTAACTGAAAAGATAGCCATAGGGAAAACTTGCATTCAGGGCATGAGGTTAACTGAGGAAAAGACAAGTCTAAAACTGAGGCATATGACTTCATGGTACAAAATTTGGTTTTACAGAGAACCATTCTGACAGAGAATCAGGGGCTAGAGGCCTAGTGATATAAGAAGATTTTTGTAGGCTCTTTTGTGATCAAATATCTGCATGCTTATAAAAACTTAGAGTTTAAAAAACACAGCTTAGGAGAAGTGTTTGCCCTGCATACATAGCAACACTAAAAAATAAAGTGGTAAATAGATGCAGATATTACAAAAGTCCAAGAGGACTATGGCAAGATTCATTAAATCACTGTGTATCTGGACAATTCCAGGTCATTTCACTAGCATCGCTTGTGTCAGTATGGCAGGGAGGCAAGCCTGGGACTTCCGTCCCTTGACAAGATTTAGTGCAGTTTGCCAGTCTGCTCATCATCACCTTCCGTTGCTCGTATTGATTATCATTATTTTCCTTTTTAAGAGACTTGTTCTACTATGTGCTCAGCACAAAGCACAGTCCTTGACTTGAAGAACTTTACTCCAGGGAGAGGAGACTGAGTAGATATGGTGAGCAAAGCTGAGAGGAAACAGTGGCTGGGTAACTGTTTTGGGTTTTAAATACTTAATATTGTTACTAAAGTTGCTAAAGTTCTTATAAGCAGTTCAAAGAATTGAGTCTGTGAAGGATTTAAGTGAGAGAAGGGAAGTGAATTCATGAGTCTGAGAAGAAGCAAGTGTATGAGCAGTGAGTAGGCTGCAGCTGAAGAGGTACTCAATGAGATCTACATAATCAGCAGAGCTAGAAGAAGTAAGCAGCCAAATGTAGATGTATAGAAAAGGAACAAGCATAGTGACCCTAGAAACTGCATATGTCTATATTATAAGGAAAAACATGGAAATTATGTCACAAGTGGTATTGTGAGAATAACATGTGCATTTATTTTACAAAGTAACACGTTCTTTAAGAAAATCTATACAGCATGTATGTGAAATTCAGCAAACTCTTGAACCATGGATTATTTCATGGTAGAAGCCACTAATTATGTTTTTATGAAGTTAAAGATGGTTAAGGCTAGATTCTGAGAAGCTTAATAACATTTACATATTGTCTTATTCCCATGCCCAATGCTGACAGAAGCTATATTAGCACAAGTAGTGGTATGATTTCTGCTTAAATTGTGAAATGAGTATTTGCCAGGCTGACAGGAGAAGGCAAAACTTGACCCCTTTTTAGTGGCTTTAAGAGCTTTTGGGCCCTCCAATAAATTTAATAAAAAATTGATTTATCAAAATTATATATTCAACTTTGTGTAGTGGTCTTTACAATCTTTATGAGAAAAGATTCAAGGATACTATGAAATTGGATCTTTTTTCTGTAGTCTGCTTATACCAAATATTATCTAGTATATTTAGTCACTTATAAACTGCTGATACTAACATCTTGACTTTCTATGTACCAAATTTGTTTCTTGCTGTATTTCTTCTATTTTAAGTTTATTAAAGACAGTTCTCAGCATAGTCATGGCTTCCAATACTGTTTTCTAGGAAAATAATGTTTCTGCCCATAAAAAGGGAGGAACTGTAGTAAAAATGCCAGAAAAACCCCTGTAACAGGAATACTTTCAAGAAAACTAAGTTATGTTTTACACATTCTTCAAAAAAAAAAATTACTTTTATTTGTATTTCTTAATTAGTGCTTCCCAGACAAATGACATGCAGTTTGAGCACATTAAGTCCTAAGGAGGAGGATAATCTTCCCTGGAGTATTATGTTTTAATGCTTTTTTTTCCACAGAAAAACCAAACCTAAATATTTAATAGTCTGATATAGAGCCACATTCATTTTGGGGTTGCGATAGTAACTATTAGGGTCTTCAGTTTGCATTTGGAGACAGCTGATTCAGTTGATATACTCCATTTATTGGGACAGTATTGCAAAATACATTTAATAAACATTTATATGTGTCAGTTACTAGGACTCACAAGTTTGGTCATTTTCTATAAAAGTAAAATAATAAATACACAAGGACTGTTAGATGACCTGAACAATAATGCAGACATTCTTGCAATTCTTGTGCCTGAAATAAAATTTGTCAGACAAAGACAATTATTGTGTACAATAAATAGCTTCTCCTTAGTTGCATTTCAACAAAGTTAGCTCACATGAGCTTTTATTACTAAATTTTGTTTCACATGCAATTGTCATTTCGTCTGCAGTTCTTGTAACTTAGATTTCACTTATTAACTTAATCAGCTATTTTTTCAAAGGGGCAGCATCATAGTAATGATTCAATTATTTTAAAAACAATTTTTAAAAAAAGAGAATTGTAAAGCCATTTAACATTGGGATTTGGATCTGAAATATGCAGACAGACCTCACAAATTGGGGTTTAGTAGATTTTAGATAATTCCAGAAAGTGTTTGAAACCATCTAATCTCAAAATGTCTTAATTTCTGCAGATATCAAAAATCACAGTGTCCTAGATATGGCTACTGTGCACTGGAAGTTTACTAAGCACCAGTACGCTCAGAAATACCCTGACTGGGATGTGAGAGTTGACCACCTAAACTCTATCCTGAGAGATGAATAGAGAGATGCCTCATTTTTGCTTAACTGTCATGAAAAGCCATTTGTGGTCCTATCACGACCACCTCTATCACTCTGTGAGAAATGCCGTACCAATGACAATATGCTGGCATTACCAGGTGTTAAATACTCTTGGTAGGAAAACCTGCCGGGGCATTTGTTGAAGTTAGGCCCCTCTCTATGCTGAAAAAGGCAAGTTACATGGAGTCAGAAGGAGATCATGGAGTCAGAACAAGAGCATCAAGTCTGATGCTCACACTCCTGTCATACGGGCATTCTTTACTGTCAGGGGCAGAGCTGGAGTTCCAATCTCTGCTTTTGGTGTTATCTTATTTATTACCCTATTATTTTTTAATGTACAATGCATCAATGTTTCTGGGGTTGCACACTTCTGCCAGATACCATCTTCTTTTGACTGAATGCCAGATCTTCTGGGCAATTGATGATATACCATTGGATATTCTGAAATATTCAACGGTGTATAACTGCTCAGTCATCTGTACTACCCTAATATGTTCAGCAGTATTACCTGTATAATTACTAATAGAAAAATTTTGCTCTGTTTTCCATGTGCTTCATATTCAGTAGGTAACTAAATTCTCTGAATCAGAGAAATACAATAACTGAATTGCTGAGATCTTCCATCATTGCAGTAAAAGGAGTTAAAAACAAACATACAAAGATTTTAATGTACAGCATAAGTAGCTCATCCTCCAGTGAAGCTCATTTTGCACTCGTAAAGTAGAGCTGCATTACCTGTTCTAGTATCCAGAAGATTCTGGGCTTTTTCTTTCCTTTCAGTACATTTCTGTGTTTAAAATTTCCTTTTGCTATTCTGAAGAAACTATACCCCAAATCCCATTGGGAACAGTCTGATTACTTCTCTCATGTAGTAGCTAGGCAACTGGCAACAAGATCTTTCACAGAGATATAAGCATTTGTCCTTTTTTTCTGATTTTCTGGGAAGACTTGTAAAAGGAGCCAGTGTGCAGCAGTGGTTTAGAAGTAAAGAGAGCAGACAGCTGATCTTCCTTTTGGGGTGCAGCCGTATTAAATTTATATGCTGGTATATATACACAAATTCAAGAAGGAAAGGTAACGTCTAAAAAGAAACACAAGAACCGTGAGTCACAATTGGTCCACTTTCACTCAGATTTACAAAATTAGAGGGAACTACTGTTAGATTATAGAGGCTTTAGGAAACAGCAGATGTTAGAAATATGTAAGCAAACTTTGTACATAAAGATCATCAATACTTTGGAACAATGTAATTGCTCTTAGTTTTCACAGTGTATTTTTGTATTTGTTCAGCTTGGCTTTCTGGGACGTGACATGCTGCATTTCTGTTAGAAAGGTGTTACGGATCTTCCTGCAACAGCAGCAAACAGACTAAAGAACTTCTCAGTATGCATAGCATTCAGATTAAAAATATTCAACTATATCAGTTACAAACACAATAGGATTTTACTGTCAATTTTCAAATAAGTAACTTCATATGTTTGTTGTGTCACAGGTACAGGAATGGCTGTGCTTAAACTGCCAGACCCAAAGGGCAATGTCTGGACAACTTGGGGATATGGGCAAGGTGCCACTTCCAAAAACAGGCCCTTCACAACCAGCATCCAAACCACCTGCTGCTCCTCAGAAACAGCCAGTGCCTGCTGTCTCACATTCCCCTCAGAAGACTTCCACGCCGCCTACTCCAGCAGCAGCAAAACCTAAAGAAGAACCAGGCGTTCAGAAGGAAGCTCCAAAACTTCAGCAGGTGAGACTGGAAAAAACATTGTCAGCTGACAAAATCCAACAGGGAATTCAAAAAGAAGATGCAAAACTGATGCAGGGAAAACTTGTCAAGATACCCTCAGCTGATAAAATCCAACGTGTTTCTCAGAAGGAAGACCCAAGACTCCAACAAACAAAACTGATAAAGTCACCCTCATCTGATAAAATTTTACATGGATTTCAGAAGGAGGATGCAAAATTTCAGGAAGCAAAACTGGCAAAAACATCCTCAGCTGATAAAATTTTACATGGAGATCAGAAGGAAGACATAAAACTTCAAGAGGCAAAATTGGCAAAGATGCCCTCAGCTGACAAAATTTTACATGGAATTCAGAAAGAAGACCCAAAACTGCACCAGATGAAAATGGCAAAGGCGTTATCAGCTGACAAAATCCAACCTGCAGCTCAAAAGGAAGATGCACATCTTCAGGAGGTCAAATTGTCTAAAGCAGTTTCAGTTGATAAAATCCAACATGGAATTCAGAAAGATGATCCAAAACTTCAACATGAGAAAATCATGAAAGCTCCATCAGTGGAGAAAATCCAAAAGGAAGCTCAAAGAGAAGAATCAAAACTTCAGCAAGGGAAACTGTCAGAGACACTTTCAGCAGGTAAAATTCCTGCAACAATAAGTTCAGATCAAAAGAAACCCCTAAGCACATTGGAAGAAGATGAAAAGACTGTGCTCCCAGAAAAGAGCACACCAGTTCCAGAGGACAAAAAAGAACAAATTACAGCTGAGGCTAAAGCCCACGTTGCTGAACAGAAAGCAGAAGCTGAAGCACCTTATAAGGGACTGCAAGCCAAGAAGCAAGAGGACGTTAAGAAAGAGGGTTTGACAACCGGGATTTCACAAAAGGTTTTGAAAGCTGAAAAAGCTCAGGATGAAGAAATTCCTGTTCAAGTAGCACCTTTGCCAAGAACTGACCATGTAGAAGCAGTGAAAGGAAAAACAGTAAGTGGTTTTCTCCCTCTCACCCCGCTTCTCCCTTTCTACAGCTTAAAATCTGATCCTAACAGACCCTCTCCTTTATGTCTTCCTGCTCATTGTTGTTAGTCTCTGTACAGGAGGATTCTAAATGATAAAATCAATGACTCCTGTTGGGTGAAAGTTTCACCAATTAGTCCTATGTTCTACATGCAACTTCTCAATACTTCTTACATGATTTTCTTTCTCAAGCAGTTAAGTATTTGAAACTAAGGCAAAGTTCCTGTTTAATCACTTTTCCAATGTTTCTGAATTATTTAACTTCTTCTGTAGACTCTCAGGACTTTAGAATTTATTTGTTGAAATTGGAGTGGTTTTATAGTTCTCACTTCCAAGAGGGAATAATCTGTGATGTAAGATGTACAGTGTTTTGCAATACCAAAGTATAATAAACCTTTGGGGAATACTTTGTGATGCCTGAACATGGTATATTGAAGTACACAACATTCATTTGCTTATCTGGTATGGACAAGCACTCTTGGGTAGGCTTCTTGGTGGGCTCTCAAGTCAGATGAATGGATGAATTTATCACAGCACCTGCTAGAGGGCTGCATTTCTTAAATAAATGCATTTGTGGGGTGCGAAGTCACCAGCAAGTCACTTTATCAGCTGAAGTGAGAAATAGACACAATTTGTTGAGAAATGAAAAATGGTGGGTTCTTTTATCAGCGCCGCAAATTAGGTGCTGATTATTATGTCATGAAGTTAGGAGAAGGTTTCGGAAAAGTGTTTAACCTCTGTCAAAATTATGTTTTTAAATAAACTCAGTCAAAAAGGTCAAGGGTTTTTTTGTTTTATTTTTTTTTCCTTGTGATAACCAAGGTATTTGGACAGAAAAATATTCCGATTTAGAAATTGTGCTGTGGAAAATACTACCTTTTTATTAACCAAGTTTCCTCTTTGAACTGTATGTTCTGTCACATGTTGTGTTTCCTTCTTTTGATGGTATCAGGAGGTATGGTGTCCCCTAATTGTACCAAGGGAACATAGCCAGAAATCCTCCCTTCTGGAACAAACAAGAAGGAGATCTAAGAAAATCTTGAATCAATTAGATTATCTCGTGTCAAATATATGACAATGTTGCAGAACTTTCCAAGAAGAGTAAGCTTAATTTTGTTAGCAAAATGTCACTTCCGGGATTTTTTTTAATTCATAGCAGAAAACTTATGAAGTAGACTTAGATTATTGTTACTGTCATTAAAAATTCAAGGTTTTATTCTGTTGAAAAACATTTGTAAGGGAAAATTTTCATCATACGCTAGTCCAGTCCTGTCTGGTCACTTTTATGTTCTGTAAGGAGGTGAAAGCATTTTATACCGTGAACAAATCTAAGATACATATATTGGATTTCCATCTCTGACAGCAACAAATTTTAATAGTAGATTAATTGATGATTAGTGATTTCTCATGTAGTGCAAATGCATATTTCACTCTTATTTTGCTTATATTTTGCTTCCTCCCACTGCCTTCTAACTGAAATCAGGACTTCTTAAGTTAATACCAAAAAAAGTGATTATCTTTCTTTTGCCTTTGTTGTCAGACTTTGAAGCACACTTAACTAAAGTTGGTAAAGCAGAAGTTTCATGAATAAAAAAAGAAAACCCAGAATGGAATGATTGAAAAAGGAATAGCTGGTTTTTACACAAAAAGACTTTTTTTCCTCTTTTTTCCACCTTTTTTTGCTCCTTGGAAAAATCCTAAAAAGAATAAAAAGCAGCGCAAATTGTTCAAAATTAAAAGTAAAGCTGGTTTCTCATCTAACTTGTGCTTCATAAAATAACTGTGATTTTTTTAAATTTTTATTTATTGAAGTATTTTAATGTTCTCTGTGCTGTACATCAAACATTGCTACATACAGATCTTCCTAAGCGAGCATGTGACAGAAGTGGAAGAGGAGATAACAAGGAGATAACAATTTAGGTATCACAGATTAAATCCACTTCAGTGGGTAAAGAACTTCCTGCATTTGACAAACTGCTGATACCATTTTATGTCCAAATCTGTGCAAATGGTAAATCTTGTAGCATTCCAGTGACATAATAATACTATTCTCATTTTTCACGCAAAAAAAAGGAGACAGCAACACCCCAACAAATTCCTAAAGATAGAGAGACTGAATTACTGATCTAGTACAATCAGTAGCATGGTCCTTGGAAAATCACAGATATCAATTGGAGTTAGAGATCTGACATGCTTTGATGCAAAAGTGACTTAAATATTGAAACATTTAAAGATATTTGGGTCTCAAAGTATGATTTAAGGTATCGTAAAGACATTTTTTTTCTGCAAAACATTCTTTTTTTCAGTAATATTTTAAACAGTAATTTCTTCAAAAATATTTTAAAGAGTAACTGGCTTTGCTCATGATTTACAGGTCCTTTTCCTAAGAATCAATCTTGTAATACTAATTATTCACATGCACAATAGCAATTAGCTGTTCTAACAAGGATACCTAGAAATCTTGAATGGTTACGACATACAGTTTGTCAGCATAAAACAGTCATCTTGGAACTCACAAATTAACTTAGAAGTAGTTCAGCATATCTACATGGACACATTACAATGGTGTAAATTGGACACATCAGCTCTATTACATATTACATTATATTATATGATGACTGCCCTCATTACTACCTGCTTATGTTTACTGAGGAATGATCGTGTGTTTAGGTTGAGTAACCAGATAGAAATTAGTGCGTTGTAAATTGACATTATTATTCTAACACATGCCATTAATGACAAAACACAGACCAGGGAGCCAGAATAAGGAGGAAAAGGCTTATCTGTAAGCAGTTTTTCTGGACACAAATGAAATGTTTCATTTTGATAATATAAAATTCAAATACAGATTAGACAGTTTAGTCAGCCAAAGTCTTTTTTTCATTCTCTGAAACTTTACATTATAATGTAGATTTCTTCTATAAACAGAATAACCTTTTAAAAATCATGAGTTCCTTTGCAAAATAAAATTTCTGTTCCATGCAACAGCATGTAATCTTGCTAGCTATAAATAATTTCAAAAACTGAGAAGACTTTTTTTTTATCACAGTTTTCTTTTAGTGGAGTTCTTACTGAATTTGATAACCAAAGGGGCATTTTGAAGCACTAAGTTTTATGTTTTCAAATAAGAGTATTAAAAGTGAGGAAATGTATGAGTAAATATACTTATGAAGCAAAAACTTCTAATGTAAGGTGTTTGTATGATGTATTGACACTGACACTGTAGAAATGCCACTAGAATAGTACAAATATATCCTACATCAGTTCGGTTCTACAGTTTGTTAAAGAGGTTGCATTTGCTGGTTTTAAATAGTCTTATACAGCCTTTTATAAGTCTCCTTATTCCTCATGTCTCAAGAAGATCCTCCCATCAATGTCTGTATTAGAGCTAAATTAGTCCAATATTAAAAACTCACAGTAGGTGAACTTTCAAACAAAATGCCATTCAACTACTCAGAAAGGCCCTGTAATTCAACACAAAACCACAAAAGTGTGGGTTTTTTCTTATTGATTAAAATACATTTTTCATTCTCCAAGAGTTGTTGAATATATGCATGTTCCTTAGCAACATTTTTTCTGAAATTTTTTGTTATTGATCTAAAAATCTTATGTTTATGGTATGTTTACAAATTTGAAAATGATGCTGTCTTTTTGGATGTGATGGACAACCCTGTAGAAAATAAATTACCAAGTCATTTAAGAATAAATGCAGCTAATTACAATATCCTAGTTCTCTGACTGCAGGGAATGGGGGAAAAAAGCACAAAGACCAACTATTATTTTTTGTAAGTTACATGCATATGATCTTAAAACGTGATGTGCAGGATAATTTTTTCATGATTTATCACAGGGCAGGCAACTATACTTAAAATAGTGATAAAAAATATGTTCATGTTGTGGTAGCCTTAAAAAGAAAGTTGAATTTTCTAATCACATTTATTTCTAATGTTAAAAGAAGTCCCTCCTTATCGTAGATCTTCTTCTCCTTACTGTACAAATAGAATTCTTTCCCATATTCAATTTCCTACTACTCATAGCAGTTATTTCATACACTGAGGTTCAACAACAGGGCAGGCAACAGCAATGTTCCTTGTCATCTCCTCTGGTTTGGTCACGGAGTAGGTACTACCCATTGGACTCACAGATAATAGCACCATCAAAAATTACAAGGAGAATGGTTAAAGTTGTTCCATGACCAGTTCTCATCTACCTATTTCTGAGCTGAACTGTTTGGCTGATCCCTTCTGCCTGTGCCTTAAAAGTCACTGTATCACTTCATCTCCCTGTGGAGAACTGAGATCTGACAGATTGATTTTCACTAGCTGGACACAGTCTGTCCATCAGCTCCTAGGAGACCTTCTGAACTTGAACAATGTTTGGATTTTCTAGTAGCTCATCTAAATTGATGACAGTGTGTTTGATTTAGTAGGTCTTTATAAGTATGAGCATATTGGACATAAAATAAAAAGTAACTATCAAAAGTCGTAGCTGAAATTTTAGTGAGGGGCATGATATTTCTAGATGGAAAAATACTTTGGTTTTAATGAAATGTGTATTTTTTAAAAACATAGCCCAATAAATTTCCCTTAAACATTTTCTTCTTTAATGAAGGGAACAAAAATGTAAATGTAACATACAAACCATGCAATTTTTAACTATGCTTCATTGCTGACATTTTATGAAGGATATATATAATTCTGTCATTAAGGGATGGAGAATATCCAAGAGTACATTTTTCACAATAGTGACTGCTGAACTGTTAAAGTGGTGATGACTTCCCAATGTTGTTTGGAGTACTGTAGGTTTCTCCATATTTACACATTAATCACAGCCTTATCATTAGAGTTGAATTAGAAATATTTGTTTTCATATTTGATTTTTAATTGCAATGGATTTTGCTCTGATATCAGATATTTGGGTTTATCATATTGGGTAATGTATTGGTAAGACAAGATGTAGTTTATATTCAAAGTGGTATCTGATTTTGCACAGTGTATAATAAATCACTCCTGTGAAATTGAGATTACCTAATAAAGTATTCATTAGTAGATTACTGTAATATTAACATTAGTGTTTTAATGTAGGATTATGTGCAGAGTGATGTCTCTATAGACAAGAACAAATACTTTAAATGTAAATTAAATGATGAAAACTGTTGTTAAAAAAACAAAATAAATGACAACAGTAAATATTTGGTTTATGGTATTTTGGCATTAAATATAACTTTAGTGTGAATAAACATTTGAAAATACTTTTAATTGATAGCAACTTAACACGAATGTAAATTTAAATTATAATTAGCCGTTGTCATCCTTTTCTTAATATATTTATTCCACAGTACTTTTTTTTAACTCAGCATATTGACAAGGAAGTTGACAAACTGAAGCTTTAAATAAATTGTTTGCTGTACTTCAGAAATAATTGACGTAGGTAACAAAGTTGATAAATGCTACCTACCTGTATTATTGAGGGCCATAATAAATATGAAGATCACATCACATTATTAAAAATTGGGACACTTTGGGATACTTGTTCTGAAGTTGCTAGTGGAGGTGGAGACACTTTGTAAGATTTTCAGCTAGGAGGATAGCGAAGATGACCTGTCATTGGCAGTGTGAGCTGTTTTGTTGGCTGAGCGGTGAGATACTGTCACTAAGTATAGAGCGTTTCATAGCTGAGAGAAGCAGGAGAGAACCTCTGGTGTGGAAATATTTGCTGTAGGATATTCTTGGTATTTTTGTTATCTCAAGGAGGAGATAGAGGTGATTGTCATTCAGAATGGTGTTGAAGGATCTGGAAGCTAGGAGAATGACTAAAGGTGTTTAATTAGGAATGAAAAGGAAAACATTGGTTATGATGCTCAGTCAGGTATGCCTGCCTGGTTCGCTTCTTTATTTCCTTTGATCATAGCTGACCATCATTCTTTCCTCACTGCAATTACACTTCCCTGCCAGCAGATTCCCTCTGCGTTACGAATTTACTGAGAAGCTTTTTTTTTATGAGGTACTCAGAAAATGTTTGTACAGTGCTGAACTGCAGATATGGGGACATTAAAAATTTGCATTTAAATCATGCTTCAATACTCCATGGGTTCTGTTGCGTGTTACAGTGTGTAACACTTAAATCAACCAAATGAAGCCATACGTCAAAAATTTTAGAGGATTGACGTATTACTAGACAATTGTAAAAGATTAAATGGGCAAAGGAAGGAGCAGACTCCAGAAATACTGCAGGCTGACAGTTGGCAAGCTATATTACTTTGTACCTAGAACTATGTAGGCAGTTTTGAAACAGAGTTGATTAAAAGCTTCATTTAAATTAACGCCCAAGCAACTTGTCCCATGCACATGTGAACAAATGATAGATTATCATTAATAAGTGTTCTGAAAAAAATTACCTAGAGTATTTGTTTATACTGAAAAATAGATCATCTCAAAACTAATAAAGTCAGTTGCCAGTGTGGACAGCCATGCAAAACAAAGTTAGATTCAATGCAAAAACCCAATATTTGAGGAACTTTTTTTGTATTATTTTAATAGCTTTGAATAACAAAATTAGTGATCAGTCTTTTGTGGTCTAATGTAATTCTTCTTATCATAATTTTTCATCTGAGACCTTAACTCATCTTTTTAAAAAAAAATCATGTATTTAATTGCCTGGAGACATTAAGAATTTATATATAAATATATACACACGCGTATGTATTTATTTTTTTAGGAAAAGGAGGATGACAAATCAGACACATCAAGCTCTCAGCAGCAGAAAAGTCCACAAGGTCTGAGTGACACCGGGTATTCTTCTGATGGGATATCAAGTTCACTTGGTGAAATCCCAAGTCATATCCCCAGTGATGAAAAGGATTTACTCAGAGAATCTAGTAAAAAAGACACTATTTCACAAGAAAGTCCACCAAGCCCGTCAGATCTAGCTAAATTGGAAAGTACTGTACTGTCTATTTTGGAAGCTCAAGCAAGTACACTTTCTGATGAAAAATCTGGAAAAAGCAAAGAGCTTTATGAAACGTATGGTGAACAGACAAAGGATCAACATAAAACAAAGCCTTTATCAGTCACTCCAGAATCTTACAGTTCAGATGAGGAAGACTTAGAAGCTATTCAAATAGGTGAAGGAATCACTGTGGAAGATGGCAAAGGAAGTGCTTCCTCCCAGGCAGACTACAAGGAAGAAGAAGAAGAAGAAGAAGGAGATGACATACCAGCAAGAAGACAACGCTATGATTCTGTGGAAGACAGCAGTGAGAGTGAAAACTCACCTGTCCCAAGGAGAAAAAGAAGAGCTAGTGTTGGTTCTTCAAGCAGTGATGAGTACAAACGAGATGACAGTCAGGGATCAGGTGATGAGGAAGACTTCATTAGAAAACAGATTATAGAGATGAGTGCTGATGAAGATGCCTCAGGTTCTGAAGATGAGGAATTCATAAGAAATCAACTCGAAGAGATCAGTGTACCTGAGAGCCAAAAGAAAGATGAAGTGAAAAGTAAAGCCAAAGGAACAGCTGGAAAACATAGAAGAATGGCACGAAAAAGCATTGCAGGCTATGATGAAGATGCAGGAAGACGACATTCATGGCATGATGACGATGATGAGACTTTTGATGAAAGCCCAGAGCCAAAATACAGGGAAAGTAAAAGTCAAGATGGTGAAGAACTTGCAGTAACTGGAGGAGGAGGTCTTCGGCGTTTCAAAACAATAGAATTGAATAGTACAATAACAAACAAATATTCTGAAACATCTGAACAACAGAAAGGTATTTTATATTTTGATGAAGAGCCTGAGCTAGAGATGGAGAGTCTTACAGATTCACCAGAAGATAGATCTAGAGGAGAAGGGTCTTCTAGTTTACATGCTTCTAGTTTCACACCAGGTACATCTCCTACTTCAGTGTCATCACTTGATGAAGATAGTGACAGCAGTCCTAGTCACAAAAAACTGGGAGGGGAGAGCAAACAACAGCGCAAAGCCAGGCATCGGTCACATGGTCCTCTTCTTCCAACTATTGAAGATTCTTCAGAAGAAGAAGAACTACGGGAAGAGGAAGAACTGCTAAAGGAACAAGAGAAACAGCGTGAATTAGAACAGCAACAAAGAAAAAGTTCTAGCAAAAAATCTAAAAAGGACAAGGATGAACTAAGAGCTCAGAGAAGAAGGGAACGTCCAAAGACTCCACCAAGTAATCTTTCTCCCATTGAAGATGCATCTCCAACAGAAGAATTACGACAGGCAGCAGAAATGGAAGAGCTGCACAGATCTTCCTGTTCTGAATATTCACCTAGTATTGAGTCAGATCCTGAAGGTTTTGAAATCAGCCCAGAAAAAATAATAGAAGTACAAAAAGTTTACAAATTGCCTACTGCTGTCTCTCTGTACTCACCAACAGATGAACAACCGATTGGACTCCCGAAAGAAGAAGGTGGTCAGAAGACATTAAAAAGTGCCGAAGAGGTATATGAGGAGATGATGCATAAGACCCATAAATCCAAGCCATTTCAAATTGCGAATGAAAAAGATGAAGTATTTGAAAAAGAGTCTTTATATGGTGGAATGCTAATAGAGGATTATATTTATGAATCTTTAGTAGAGGATACTTACAATGGAACTATTGATACTAGTCTTGTAATGAGACAAGATGAGAGCAGTGAATACATACAACAGAGAGGAAAAGATAAAAAAATAAGAGCTTCAGAACAGATCTATGAAGAACCGCAGAAAATTAGTGATCTACAGAAAGACTACTATAGTGTTGAGACTTTACATTCTATTGTGCCTCAAGAAGATATTGTTTCTAGTTCTTACATTATCCCGGAAAGTCATGAAATAGTTGTATTAGATAGCACAGTAACTTCCACCACTGAGGAAAAGCAGTTGTTAGATGCAGAAGCTGCTTATGAAGAGCTTATGAAAAGACAGAGAATGCAGCTAACCCCTGGGTCCAGTCCAACACAACCAACTTCAGGTTTCAGTCCCACGTCTGATACAAAGGTATCTAGTGTTGGAGAAATAGTGGATAGCACATCTTTAACATCAAGCACTACTTCAGCAATCTCAGATGTGTCACCTGCCAGTAGCACAGCACTTTCTATTCCGGATGTTAAAATAACACAGCATTTTACAGCAGAGGAAATTGAAGATGAATACTTAACAGATTATGCCAGAGAAATTCAAGAAATAATTTCTCATGAAACATCAATGTTGACATACTCTGAGACATCAGAAGGTGCTCCATCAGTTTTACCTTCTGATACAGCTTCCTTAACATCATCTACATCTTCAGTTTGTACCACAGATAGTTCATCACCCATAGACAGTGCAACCACAGGTTACGTAGATACAGCAGATGCTGTAAGCAAACTAACAGGTTCTGAAGGTGTCAGGATAATAACCCAAGTTCCCTTAACATCTACAAAAGAGTACTCTGAAGTGAGCATGCCTTTTGAATCTGTTGCAGAAGCCTCTAAAAAGCCATCTATAGCATCAGATATGGGAAGTGTGGATCAAGCTGCAGTTTGTGTGCCTGAAACTGCACCTTCAGTAGTGGCAACTACAGTTATAAAACCCAAGCAATATGCAACTGATACCATTCCCTTTGATATCTCCAAAGCAGAAAAGGAAGCAGCTAGAAAAATGAAAAGTACAGTAGAGGCTGGCGTTTTCAAAATTCATCATGAAGATCCACACAAGGAATTGGGTTTTGATATGACAAGGATTAGTTTGACTAGTGCTACGTCTGAGCAACCACCTGTCTGTATAGCATCAGTACCAGTTACAGAGCCTGCATCAGAAACATCTTCTGTACCTACTCCCAGTGTTGTAAGTAAGACCAGCATGGTCTCTGTGCCTTCCTCAGCTCCTGTTGTAACATCCAAAGTATTCTCGCTTTTTAGAAGCTCTTCTTTGGATTCTCCTGCACAACCTTCTCCACCCCCGCCGCCTCCTCCTCCACCACCTCCTCCACCACCATTACCTCCACCTATTTTACCCAAGCCAGCCATTTATCCCAAAAAGAAGTCACAGATTAAGACTCCAGCAGCAACAGCTCCCACAGTGGTACCTGCAGTCAGAAGTGTTACAACACTAGAGTCCACAGCTGTGTTAAAGAATCATGTGTTACCTATCACAAAAACATACACCCCAACACCACCTCCCGTGCCACCCAAACCATCCTCCATTCCAGCAGGGCTTGTTTTCAGCCATAGGCCTGCTGAAATAACTAAACCTCCAATTGCTCCTAAACCAGCAGTCCCTCCACTTCCAATAACTGTTCATAGGCCAGCAGAAACACCGCCCAAACCAATAGGTTTGTCATTGACTTCAAGTATGACTCTGAATTTGGTCTCTGCAGCTGAATACAAAATAGCGTCTCCTACTTCCCCTTTGTCTCCACACTCTAACAAATCTTCACCAAGGTTGACAAAACCCTCACAGGAAACTTATGTTGTCATCACATTGCCATCTGAACCTGGAACTCCCACAGAAGCTATAACTAGTCAAGCTGTTACCAGCTGGCCTTTAGAAGCACCTTGTAAAGAACAGATTCCCCAGTCTATGCAACCAATTTTTACTCCATCCATGAAAAGTATGGAAATTCAAAGTATGGCAGATCAAAGTATATATATGTCAGGTGCTTTGCAAACTATTCCTGTCACAGCACTATCAACTTTTGAAAAAATACCTAGTTCAAAATCAGAAGTAGTAACAACAGAGGTAACCACGACCACGGTGTCTGTGATTAAGGGTGCAGTGCCTGGTTGTGGCTTAGGCAGCGTCGCTATTACTATACCTCCAGAGCCACTACACGTAATAGATCAGCCCAGGTATAGAGAGAATGGAAGATTCCATCCTTTGGGTGATGTCATAGATCTTCGCACTTTAACTAAGATGGATATTGAAATGAGAGACAGCTGTATGGATCTGTCTGCTGTTTCCATGGACGTGAGAAGGCAAATGCCAGCAAGTGATACATGTGGGCGGCCAGTAAGTACTGTCCAGCCAGCTATAATAAATCTTAGCACTGCGTGTGTTGCAGATCCTTCTCTGTCTGTAGTCACCGAGACAGTAACTGTAATGACCTGCACTGCCACTGTAAGCTACACCACCAGTACCGACAGCCTTGTGGATCTGGGACATGCAATGACAACGCCACTTCAGCTAACAACATCAAAACATTTTGAGCCTGCATACAGAGTAACAGGCAGCCAGGCATTCTCTGCAGGGAGAGACGAAGTGCCAATTAATTTATCCCTAGGTACTACTACAAAGCCTGTTACTGTACCACCTGTTGGTGTTACAAATGGTTGGACTGATCTCTCCACTTCCCAGGAGCCAATGGAGAGTGGAGCAGTTGACCTTAGCACTACAAAATCTCACAGAACAGTAGTAACAATGGATGAAACTACTTCAGGGATGTTAACAAGAGTAATAGAAGATGATGAAAAGCCTGTGGATCTGACTGCGGGGAGAAGAGCTGTTTGCTGTGATGTGGTTTATAAATTGCCATTTGGTAGGAGCTGTACAGCACAGCAGCCACCAACTACACTTCCTGAAGATCGCTTTGGTTACAGAGATGACCACTACCAGTATGATCGTTCTGGGTCGTACGGCTACCGAGGAATGGGAGGTATGAAACCATCTATGTCTGACACAAATTTATCGGAAGCTGGACTGTTTGCATACAAAAGCAAGAATAGCTTTGATTATCGAGTTGAGGCAACTGATGCAGCAGTAGATCTGACTTCTGGAAGAATTACTACAGGTCAGTATGACACGGCAGCAGATCTTTCTTTGAAATATAATTTTGATGTTCCTCACCTCATTTCAGGATGATTTTTTTATTATTTTCCCCTCCTTCTGTTGTTTTGTTTTCTTTTGGACAGTGTGACAAATTATTCTGGATTACACGTGTTTTTCATTTCTTCATGTTACATATGTGTTTTGCACAGAGGTGCCTGCATGTGCCTGCATGTTCAGAAATGCTGTTTCCTTCACATCTAAAGTAGATAATCTGAAGATTTGCATGCAGTTTCCCCTTCCCATTTAATTCATCAAGATGGGATGACTTTCAGAATCCGCAAAGCAGCATTCTTTTGTGGACTGGACTGTAACTTTGCCCTGTAATTTCAGGTGAGGTTATGGATTACTCAAGCAAGACCACTGGTCCTTATCCAGAGACTCGGCAGGTGATTTCTGGCATCGGGCTCAGTACACCACAGTATTCCCAAGAAAGAATGGTATCATCTCTGGGTTCCCAGTTTGGTGTTGGAAGTGTTTTAAGATCATCCAATGGTGTTGTTTATTCTTCAGTAGCGACTCCAATCCCATCCACATTTGCCATTACCACACAACCTGGTTCAATTTTCAGTACAACAGTCAGAGATTTACCTGTTCTCCAAACAATTGACTCAGTGCCCTCTTTGTCAACTTTGCAACAGAATCAACCACTGCCAAGATCATACAGTTTCTTGACAACAGTGGCAGCTGAAAAAGATAGTGCAATTACTGCCATTGATGTAGAGACAGGGTTACCACCTCTTGCTATAGAAACTACTGCCACTGAGCCAACCAACTTGATACCTGCTTTAACTACAGCATCTGAGGTTTATACAGATGTAATTGAAGATGAAGTTGCCCTTCTCATTGCCCCTGAAGAAGGCAAACAGCAGCAGCTTGATTTGGAGCGTGAACTTCTTGAGATTGAGAAAATCAAGCAGCAGCGCTTTGCAGAAGAACTGGAATGGGAACGTCAGGAAATTCAAAGATTTAGGGAACAAGAAAAGTTTATGGTGCAAAAAAAGCTTGAGGAATTGCAATCCATGAAACATCATCTCTTATTTCAGCAAGAGGAGGAACGACAAGCTCAGTTTATGATGAGGCAAGAGACATTAGCCCAGCAACAGTTGCAGCTTGAACAATTCCAACAACTGCAACAGCAGCTCCACCAACAGTTAGAAGAGCAAAAAATTCGTCAAATATATCAGTATGGTTATGACCCTTCAGGAACTGGCTCGCCACAAACTACCACAGATCAAACACTTTTGGAAGGACAGTATGCAACCACAGAAAATGGCCATTTTTGGCCTACTGATGATGCAACCACTACAGCTTCAGGAGTGCTGGGTATTGAAATTCCACAAAACCAAACATGGTATACAGTTCAGTCTGATGCCATTACCCAATACATACCTAGGTCTGGTATCCTAAGCTCTGTTTCAGAAATGTCTCTTAAGGATATTGATGTTAGAGAGGAGAAGCAGTTGAAAAAGAGAAGTTCTATGCCAAAATTACGTGGTCCATACGAGGAGCTTGAGGAGACCCTGGAAGAAGAGCCCCGGTGCTTCAAAAAGATAGTGGACAGTGGAGTTCAAACTGATGATGAAGACGGAGCAGACAGAGGTTACACAAACAGAAGACGGAGAACTAAGAAGAGTGTTGATACAAGTGTTCAGACAGATGATGAAGATCAAGATGAATGGGATCTTTCTAGCAGATCCAGAAGGAAACCTCGTGTGGGGAAATACAGTGAGAGTACATCTGAGACAGACAAAGCTAAACAATTCTCCAAAGTGTCTAGTATTGCAGTTCAGACAGTGGCAGAGATTTCAGTACAAACAGAACCTGTAGGAACAATAAGAACACCTTCCATCAGGGCCCGATTAGATGCTAAGGTGGAAATCGTAAAGCACATTTCAGCTCCAGAAAAGACATATAAAGGAGAAAGTTTGGGATGTCAAACAGAAACAGAGTCAGATACTCAAAGTCCTCAATATCTGTCAGCTTCATCTCCTCAGAAAGATAAAAAACGCCCAACACCTTTAGAGATAGGATACTCATCCCACCTTCGTCCAGGCTCCACACTGCAGGTAGTCCCTTCCCCTCCCAAATCTCCCAAAGTTCTCTATTCACCCATTTCACCTGTTTCACCAAGCAAAGTTATAGAATCAGCATTTGTACCCTATGAAAAACCCATCACTGATGACATCAGCCCTCAGAAGATGCTGCATGCTGACATTGCCAAGGTTCCTCCATCAAGCCCAAAGGCAGCAAAGATGATGCAACGCTCTATGTCTGATCCTAAGCCCCTGAGTCCCACAGCAGAAGACAGTTCCAGAGCTCAGTTTCAGTACACTGAGGGTTTCATGGTAAGAAGTATCTGCTTGCTTTTTTTGTTTTTTTTAATATGCAATTCTACAGCTATCGGTAGCATGAGGGCTGACACATTCATTTGCAGTCCCTGTGTATGTCGTCTTTTTGCACAACTTGCTGCAAAGTCCCAAGGAAGGTCTGCTGTCTGAAGCAATGGTTATTTGCTTCATTGCTTTGCCTGGAAATAGAGGAATCCATATTCCGGTCTTACCAGGATTCAGAAAAAAACACAACATATCCTTGTTCAGAATTTGGAAGGCACTTTATGTTTTACATGGCAATTAATTGCCACTAAAGTGGTTAATGCCAATTCTTCGGTAAATGAAAAGCATTTCCTTTCTAATCATACAACATCCAGCTCTTGTGACACAGTCTGCAGTTCGTTTACCTTGAAATTACTGCATGTGCCTTCTGAGAGGCAGCTAACACCAGATTTATAATTACCTTAGTTAGCTATCCTTTTTGACCCTCATGAGGTTTCTTGGCTTATTGTGATTCTGTGGGTAATCTTGTGTCCCAATGCGTACATCTTTTATCTCTCCCAGACCAAAAGTCTCATATGACAAATCTGGTTTTTGTTTGTTTGTTTTGGGTAAGGAGGATTATCAAGAAGTTATGCAAGTGTTGAGGGCTGTGTCTTACAGGGTCAAAGGAGGCAATTTTGAATAAGGCTGACATTATCACAATTAAAATTTTTCATTTCTGCAGTATTCCTTTTTCTTGAGAGGTAAGATTTCTGATTTGGGAATCAGTCCGTTATTTATGAATAAGGGGAATAAGTCTTGGCTAAAAAAATGCCTTTATAGTTTAACATGTTCTTGGCTGTCCTTTTGTCCAAGTCCATCTTATTTGTGAGAGCTCTAGAAGATTTGCCATTCAACTTCTTCGGCAGTTTTTTTCTTTTATGTTGTTATCTGTGAATATATGAGTGATTAGTACAGGCTGGATAGAATAAAGGTTTTTTTTTTTCTCTATGTTTGATAATTTGTGGTGGCTTTCAAATGCAGAATTATCTGGTTATGCCCTCCAAGGCTCCCACTGTAAGCCGTTTCTGCAGCTTCACATATTTGTGTGGATACTAAATGCTTCTTACGCTGTTACTGCTTGGAAAACAGCACTTGGAAGTTTGAAGAGACAACTGTGGTTGTAGTACTGGCACTCCATATCACCATCATTCCCGAATGCAGGATTAACACAGTGTGTGAAACTGTAGCGTGAGCACTAAAGATAGTTTTTTATATTAAAGATAAAGAGGGTTTGGAACAGCGTTTTGAAGAACGTTGCTTACAAGTTAGGAAGTGTTGTGTTCTGCTAGGTATTGGAGAGTAGGTATAATGTTGTAAAATAACTGTCAGTGAAACCATTACTGAGGACAAATTATTCAGTCCACTTATTTCATAGATGCATATATATTTGATACAAATTATATGCTTTGTATGATGGATAATAAATTCTATAAATAGCTGATTGTTTAAAGGCCTTTACAGTAGAGTTTGAACACATACAGTATTCATTAATGAGACATGGAAACAAGGGGCTCGTATATCACTGTTTATCTCTTACCCATATGTTTATTACCATTTTGCCTTGAGCCCAAACAGTAATGAGCTATATTGTTCTTGTTAGCATAGAGCCATGAAGCAGCAAATACCCCATGTCTCAAAGTACTTACACTCTGAATAAATGAGGTGGACATTTTTATGGAACATGAGGTGCAAGTAGATGAGTGCAAGGAAAGTAAAAAACTTTCATGGATGTGAAGTGGGCTGCACTAACTGTGTCATGTGGCATATGGTGAGGAAACTGCTCTGTAAGTCTCCCGTGACCATCATGGCTGCTTTCAGCTCTGATGTTATGTTAAGCATTCAGCCTGTTATACCCTCTCTTTCTGATAGAATTTTATTAATTAAGTATTTGAGGTTCAGTTAGCTTAGGCTGGGATCAGGTACATGAAATTTAAAGGAGAAAAATATATACGACAAAAAAAGAAAATATTTAGAGTGACACTTACAGAAAGTAATCCAATTATCTCATCAGCATCTGGAAATATGGGCAAAAATTGCTTTTGCAGTTGCTACAACGGTTTCAGTTCTCTATTACGCAGTCCAGTTATGTTGTGAAGGAGGGTTCTGTGGTATAGGATCTAAATGATCTCCAAGTTTCCGTAAGACTTACAGTATTCTCTCCAGCATGTCTATGTTTATACCACCTTTTGTCACACTCAAAAGTTCTTCCTGAAAGGCAGCATTTACACAGTGTTGCTGTTGACAAAGTGTAAACCTTGTTGACATTTTTTCAGCTGGAGAACTGTGTTGTTTTAGCAACGTATCATTGTTATACTGAAGTTTCCATTACGTTCCCTTTGGTAGTTCGTATGTGCTGTACATTTCTGCCACATATATTAGTAATCAAGTGTAGTTGTGTCAAGGAAAAATTGTGAGCTATAGGTTGTCAGCACAAAAAAAGTTGTGGAAGCCACTCATTTGGAATCAATACTTTGCAAAGATACCTAATTTTCCTGTTTTGTGATCTTTGTGCCACTTGAGCTCCCAGTGCCAATGAGCTCCCCAGCATTGATGTTTGTAGTCTGTCCTGCAGCCCGATGTGGTAGGATTCCATGGAGTGCAAAGCCATAGCAGGAGTTTCCATGAGGGCACCAGGAAATGTTAGCAGAGTTTGGAAGTGCAGATTGAGATTCGTCCATTCAGAAGCAACAAAAAATTGTGAGTACTTGTCTAGTTTAATAAACAAATATCTTTACACCAGTGCATCACAGAATCAAGTCACATGTCAGTCACAGTCAACTTCGGCACTTTTACACATTGCATATGTGTAATCAAAGATGGAAATTGTCATCCTTTTGCCTTTGGATGCAAAATGCTTGCTCAACTAAACTGAAGCAAATTGCAAAAGATCTTGCACATGAACTATCATACACATATAACATCTACAGCTAAGCAGTGCATAAAGATTCAACAGAAGCATCTGTGTTAGTGAAACTAATTCAAAGACACATCTTTCAACAGCCTGTCAGCTTCAGGGTAGAAATTGTAAGTTTAAGCTTCAACACTTAGAATAAATTCTAGTAATCTGTTTATTAAGAGAGTTAACAGAGACTTTTCTCAAATTTTTCATCTGATGTGAGTTGCTGCAATTGTAAGATAAATATGATTTTAATCTGTATACTATAGTAAAAAAGATAATGGTTTCAAGCACAATCCCAAAAGATTGTTTCTTTGTTTAGGTGAGAATTACAGGACTTCTTCTGTTGCTGTAGTAAGAGCGGAAGTGATTTTATACTGAATTTAAAAGTGTAAATTTCCTTGCATCATAAATTTAAGAGTAAAGAAAATAAAGCACATTAATCTTTGTTTTATGTTCTACGGTATTCTAAAGTTTTCAACTTTAAAACTGAAGGTGAGGACTTCAGTGATTGGGCTGTCCTTAGCTGTGTCCGACATTCTGTACAGCTTGGCACTGCAGAGGGGAAACAGAGCAGTTGCTCCCAGTAGAGTTAAAACCTTCCATACATTTCATCTGTTATGTTTTGCTTGTGTATTCAGGACTAAGCTGATCACCAGACTTGTATGACAGCAAGGAATGTTCTGCTTGGGTAATAAATGGAAGCAAAGAGTAAGGATAATTACCTATTTGGAGTTGGGTATTTCTGTTTGTCTTCCTCAGAAGCAGGGAGTAGGTTCTTTCTTACTGTCATGCCAGAATTTCAGGTAACAGATTTCTGCTATTGTTGAAGCACAGGTGTTTCCCTTGGCTTCTTGTTCTCTGGGCCTAATTCCAGATAAAAGGGGTTGGTACTTTGTTATAGCTCTTGTAGTTATTGTTTTGTGGTCTGAGAAATAGGTGGTGACATGTTTCTAACTGCAAAAGGCTTAATTCTGTGACTTAAATTTTCCATTTTAGTCTCGCGAACCAGTCCAGAAAAAAAGGAATAACATTTTGTTTTCTATAAAAGGTATATTTCAGTATAAAGGAGCTATTACCTCTTGCAGAAAAAGCTGCCATTTGGGTTTAAGTACAGATGGGTGTTGAGTGAGGAACCATCTTTGGTAGTATGAAGTTAGAGTAACCTAGATTCAAAGTGCAAGGGGTTTTGTGCATCCAAATGATGTCTGTGGGCTGTGGTTTAACGGAACTCTTCTTCAGGCACTTGTGACAACTGGTCCTTCATTTCTGCCGTGCATACACCAGTCTTAACAGTCTGGGAGTGGCCTGATTTACATCATTCCTATGGTTTGCATGCAATTTGTGAGCTGCATACCTGGGTCTGCCTGGTTCCTGCATCCCTGAAGAGTCCCCTGCAGCGCTATATGAGACTGGTTCATTGCTTATGGAGAGCAGATACTATTTTGAGATTGAGTTCAGGCCAGAAATCCAGAGAAGGTGTAGATCTGCCCACTGAATTCCTTTTGTGATTGAATATCAAGTCACACACTTTTTTGTGTGTTTCAAATTAATTCACTGGAAACTGAGTTGAAAAGTGGATCTCACATCTAGAAACTATTCTAAACAATCTTATCCTTATGTAAACAGTAAAATAAGACTTATCTATCTTCTCCTTTAACTATGTGGTTTTAGCTAAATTTAAGATTACTTTGTCCCCTAATGATCTGAATTATTCACAATTTAGAGTTCTGTTAACATTTCAAGCTACTGCTTCCAGTGCTGTATTTGAAATCCTTTGGAATAACATTTATATGACTCAAATGACCCGTCTTTTTTCCATCTGTCAGATCTGCAAAACAGAAAGACTACCACTACCCCACATTTGGTCAACATATCACATAAACGTTGTTTTCTAAAGCACATTAAACTGAGTCAGTCTGTCTTGCCTGATACTTCTACATTAGTTGATTTCACACCTTCTCTATTCATCCAAAGGACATTCATGCATAATAGCAAATTATTATGGTATTTACTCTTTTGCTTTTCAAGGGGCATCCTTAACAATCTTTTATCAAGCATGAGATTTATGGAA